GTGATCAAGGACGTGAACGCCGCCTCGGCCCGACGGCGCGGGGGGACGCGCGGCCCCGCGCTCTCCTAGGGCTGCAGGTTGAGCGAGAACTTCCACTGCTGCGACAGCGCCGGGCCGCACACCTCCACGCTCAGGCCCCCGTTCTTGGCCGAGCGGCTGTCCAGGCACAGGTTGCTGCCCACGTGCCGCAGCTTGGAATTGCCCTCGATCTGCTCCCATTTCTGCAAAAGACAGGAGGGCACCTTACAACCTGAGCAGCCGCGAAAGGGGACAAAGCACATCCGCTTTCAGGGTCTGCGTTCAAAATCGGCAAACTTTTAAGGATGGGAGTTTGCAAGAGATGCTGTGGGGCGCCCAGGAAGAAACCTGCGTTCTCTGCATGGTCCGCAGCTCAAAACCTCCTATCCGAGCCCTGCTGGCGACCAGCCCCTGCCCCTGCCCCTGCTCCATCCTTTCCCGTTTGGGTGTCTCCTCTTCCAAGCCCCATGCTTAGGGCACCCGCCCCTCTCAGTCATAGCAAGGACTTGATGCAGAGGGGAATTTCTTGTATGAACTTCGCATTCATTCACAAGATGGCCTCTTCTGATATGCCCCCCAAGGGAACTGGCCAGCTCCAAGAGGGCCCAGGACTGCCCTGGGGAGGCCGGCAGCCCTGTGCTGTGCTCAGGCACCTCGGGGCTCCCCTTACCCTAGGGGCCTCGTGCTGGACCAGAGGAACGGGGTCAGGCGAGTTGAGAAGGAAAGGCGCGCTGGTGTGGACAGAACACCACTCTGGGGAACCCGCGACTCCATGGTCTGCCCTCTCCGCAGGTTTTGCCTCCTTGGTGGGCATGAGAGGCCTGTCTCAGCTGGCCTCGAGTCCCCCAGGCTCTGCACAGCGGGCCCAGGTGCCACCTGCCCCGTTCTAAGTGCGCCACTCGTGCAGTGCAGGATGGACGGCCTTCCTACCTGGGTGTGTGCACACCTGCGCCCCCGTCCACCCAAGCTGGCCAGCCAGGCCCACCAGGGAACAGGCCCACAGCCCGGCCATGGGCAACCCCATAAACACTCTGTTGTTTATCCCCTCACAAAAAGAAAAAAAAAATTTTGCTTAAGAAGAAAAAAAAAGGTGCCTCTTTCCCAAAGCTCTCCCTTCATTAACGTAGTCTGCAATTCTAATTAATTTTCCACACTGTTTGCACTGAGCTCCTTTCCATCAGTATTTTGCAAATCCTTTTGACAGGGTGGAATTCAATGTTCTTACTCTTGCCTGCCTTTCCCCTATGACTCTGCAAATTCGCACATAACACGAACACACAAATGTGCCTAGAATCCAAATGTCCCAACTGGCAGGACAGTGTGGCTTCTGGACAGAACGCGGTGAAGAGCCTCCTCTCAAAGGGCACACAAATGAGGAGGGGAAGGAGGCAGAGCGAGGCCGGCGGGAGCCCAGCACCCCGGGGACTGACCCATGCCAGGACCCTGCAAGGATGCTCTCAGGGGGACCGGGGGACACCTACTGACGGCCTGGAGTTTCCACCTATAGTGGAACACAGTGCGACCGATGGGCGCAGGGCAGGCTACTGGTCCTGGCCCATCATCTCCTCTGCTCCTGCCCTCTGTGCTGTCAGCCATCCCTCCTGCCCTCTTCCCACCTGTGTCACTCTCAGAGGCCAGGGAGCGTCTGACAATGAACGTGGCATGGACGGGCTCTGATTCCGCTCTCTGGAGGGGCTCTGTGTGTGTCACAACATCAGCCAAACGGAGGGGCCTTAAAAATGCCCAAAGCCCAGCTCTGTCCCCAGAAGGCAGCGCCTGCAGTTCAGAGCCTGGGACCCCGCAGGCTGTGGGGAAGTGGAGGCCCCCTGATGGGGCCGACCTTCTCCAGCGGGCGAGGTCTCGGGGTTGACGGTTTAACAGACCCTCACTCATGTACGCCACGTGCCCGGAAAAGCGCATTGCTTGCAGGCCTCTCTCCCTCTGGGGACATGAGTCTTTCGGGGCTGAGAACCTGGACATGGGCAGCAAGCTCCAACTAAGGGTAACTCCTCCAGGGCTTATGCATCTGTCTTTTAAAAAAGTTCAGAGACCAGATAAAGTCATCACTTTATCCCTCCTTTAGCCACAGACATCCCTGCCCGTCTCACCCGGGGCTGTGCTCAGCCCGACACCATGCTCACCAGTGCCGACGGGTGGGTACCAGGAGGTCGGGTCCAGGGGACAGGGGCCTCTTTGTTTAACAGTCCCTCCTGGTCACTCGGGTACCACAACCACATGACTGAACATCAACACAGATGGGCCCTAGGGACTGGCCAGTAGTGAGCCGAGCCCTGCAGAGGGGGCGGGGGTTCTGCAGAGCAGGGAGGGGCACCCAGGACGGGGTGGGAGGGACAGATGAGAGACGGCCCTTTGCAAGTGTTTCCTGACAACCAGGGTCCCAGCAAGGGACCTGGTCCTGGCCTCGGTCTTCCCAATGGACACTGGACGGGAGCCCTGCTCTCCGGGCCTCAGTTTCCCTTCTGTGACATGAGCGTCAGACTAGATGCCGGCGGAGGTTCCTGGCTCCAGCAGGCTGCGCACCTCAGTCTCCCCACACCCATCTGTCTTGTAAGGGGGGACGTAAGAAGACAGAGGGACACACTGCACCATCCTCTGGGGGCTGCACCAGCCATCCCCCCACAGTTCAGAAAAGGCTCTGCCCCCAAAGTACCTACCACAGGGTGCACGCTGGAGAAAGACGCTGGAAAGGTAAACTGTGAGCTGAGAACTGGCTGGAAAAAGGAACAGACATACTGGAGTGTGTGGGGTCTCATCCCTTTGAACTCTCACCGTTTACAATTTTGTAAACTTAAAACGGAAAAATATTTAATGAATAAAGAAAAATATGTTCAATTTCTCTTTAAAATATCCAGTGGTGTGGGAATGAGAAGGAGCATGTAACTGGCAAGAAGTGACACCCGGCCTGTGGATAAGACGTAAGGGCCGCTTCTGGGGGGGGGAGCATGAAGGGCTGGGGAGTAACAGACACACACGTGACTGCATGCAAAGCAGATGAACAGCAAGGAGCTACTGTGGAGCCCAGGGAACTGTATTCAATACCTTGTAATGGCCTAGAATGGAAAAGAACTTGAAAAGAAAGTCTGTATGTATGTATACATGTGACTGATCACTGTGCTGTACACCTGAAACTAACACTGTAAATCAACCACACTTCAATAAAAAATAAAGAAAAAAAAAGAAAGAAAGGCCTCTTTATACACCTTTTATAAAATATAGGTCTTCCTTCCAGGGCTGGGAGCTCACCAGTAACCGGCATGAAACGGGGTGAGAACACCCTGGAGACCATGGGTTCTAAATGGATTGTAGGTCAGTGTTTCACTAACTTTTCATGACTGAAATCATAGACTTTCATTTCATTTTAAAAAAAAATTTTGGGAGTGCAGGTAACTAGTATGTATGTTATGTATTTACTGGAGGTGCTGGGGATTGAACCCAGGACCTTGAGCATGCCGAGCACGCATTCTACCACTGAGCTATACCCTCTGCCCTCATTTCATTTTTAAAGCAGAGTTTTAAGTCAGAACTTCCGCCCGCTCAGGCTGGCACCTCTCCCAGAGACCGAGGGGTGGGCTCTGAGGCCTGGCCGTGTCCCAGCGGGGTGTGCTGGCCGTGGCTGCCTGCCTGCCTGGCCCAGCTGTGCTCCTGGGTCTGCAGAGAAGCTGTCGCCCCTCCCCGCTCCTGGGCCAGGGCTCTGCGCCTCCGCGGGAAGCTAGGGCTCCCAGCACTCAGACACACACACACCGGCCGCCAGCATCTCCGTCTGCCGGGTGTTCACTGGCGTCCCCAGACAAATCCTTTCGAGGCGCCCACGTCTTGAGTGCCTGGGCGTGACGGCTGCTTACCTAGCAGGCCACGGTGAGGAGGAAGCGACCCCAGGTGCGGGGACCCTCCGCTCCAGTGCCCAGTGCAGGGAGGGTCCGTGCAGGCCCCCTCCAGAGCTGAACAGACGGATCACAAAACATGATCCTGCCTTTTCAGTTTTGTTGGATGAGGCGCACAGATATACGCAGATCAATCCAGAGGTTATGGGAAGAAAAAGCCCAGGACGGATGGCCTCCCAGGAGAAGTAGCTCACGGGGCAGAGGTGAGAGAGCAAGCCGTCCGGAGCAGCAGGGCGGCAGACAGACCAGCCCTGGCAGCCCCCACGTCCCCACCTGTCACAAGCATCAGGGTCGCCCACGCGTCCCAGCATGGAACTTGCTGAACACCTGCCCCGTGGGGGGACCCCACAGCACGTGGAGACGCCGAGGAGCGCGGGCGTCGAATGGGGCAGCCAGGCATCATTCAAACAAACAAACATGCAAGTGCCCCCAGCGATCCGGGCCCGCGGGGCCCGGGCTGGACCTCGGGCGCCGGGAGTACCTGTCTGCTGTCGTTCTCTCGGCAGCCCTGCAGCTTGATGAGCGAGCCGGGCGCCCGGTCCACCACGGTCAGGCACAAGTCCATGTGCTTCACTGACTTCTCCTTCGTCAAGGCCCACTCCTGGAACACAGAGCAGAGGTCAGGGGCTGCGGGGTGAGAGGATGAAATACGGGAGGGCCCGGAAATTGGGCCGGTCATGCGGGGGAGCGAGCTTCAGAAGGCCCCAACCAACTCAGGGCCAACAGACGACTTTGTGCCTAAGAGCAAACCTCTAACGGGGGAGGGGGGGCCTCACAACTGAGCGATAGGCTGACCAGGTGACGTGTAAAGTGCTCCGGGGACCCAGGGATGGAGATAAACAGTGTTAGCTCCTTTAGCCCAGAGGCAGCACAGAGCCCCACACCTAATTTCCTATCACCGAATGTGAGCCACACACACTGCAGCTCACGCTGGGGTGCCCATAAGGCGTACTGTTCAGGGGCAACACTCCCTCGGATGACTCCGCCCCCACGCAGGTGTGGTGCGGAAACAGCATTTACGGCCATGGAGTATCACGTCTGGCACACGTAGCCTCGTCACTGAGCACTATGTTGGCCGAACGATTCTCAGGAGGCGCCGTGCGACCCCAGGCATGGCTCAGGTGTGCACGCACGAGCCACTCAGCGGGCCCCGGGGGCCTGTGCTGTGCCTGGCACAATGTTAGACAACCACCCCCCCAGAGGCTATTACCATCCCCATCTTACAGATGGGAAGACTGAGCCAGAGAAGGCTGAAAGAACTTGCCTATCGTCTTAGAAAATACACACACACCCCTTTAGGGCTGAGGCAGGGCTGAGAGCAGAAGCACTTATTCCGACACTAAACAAGACCACACGGAGGGCAGAGGCTGGGGCGGGGATGGGTGCATGAGGCCACAGGCGGGAGAGGAGGCTGGGCGGGGCCACAGCTAAGACAGGAGGGCAAGGCTTCTGACCATCACGGGAGGACGTGGTACTTTCAGATGGATAAAACCCAAGTGAGCCCTCAGGATCCAGAAGCAGCGAGACCTCTTCTAACTCAGAATCCCACCAGGGGTTCCCTCCCAGTGCCCCCTCCAGCTAGAGGCCCAGGAAAACTGTGGCAGTCATCTGTCCGTCCGGCCGGCCATTCACCCATCCACCCCGGCGACTGTCGGCTGAGCCTCTGCGATGACTCAGGTGCTGTCAGAGTGCTGGGCCCCCGGCAGCAAACACACAGGTGAGGCCTCACCCTCCAGAAGCCCCCTCCCCAGTGGGGAGGGCGGGTGACACACGTGTAGTATGTAGCGCTGGACACTAGCAAGTGCTTTGGACAGATTTTCTTCTTTCTGTGCTCAGGGGACAGAGCAAAGGGCGGGAATGCATCCTCGAAAGCAGCCTCAGTGCTCAGTCCCTAAATCACCTTGGAACAAATGGTCTGCGGTCAGGAGACCGTCAACACTGAAGGCTCCGTCCTGCCCACACGGCCCGTGAGCTGGCGTCCAGCAGGGAGGAGCCGGGTGCAGGGGCTGAGGCTCGGGCCCCCGTCCGGGACAGAAGGGAGAAGCCCCCCAGCCTGGGTGGGCTTCCTTGTCCCCTCACGAGAGTCGGGCAGGCTCCTCATTTCCCTTGGCTTCGATTTTCTCACCTTTTAGTGTTTTTCAATCCGTGAGGAATTCTATGAAAAGCTGGTTCCAGGTTAAATAAATTTGGGAAACCTTGAATTTGGGCCACTCGTCTCTCCCGCAAATTCACAAGTGGCCGATGAGAGGCTCTGACAAGTCCTGGAGGGGAAGAGCTTGCTTGGCCTGCTTCCCATGGTTCCCCAAACTTGGACGCAGACAGCACCCCGCCTGGCCCCACTTGTCCCTTGGCTCTGAGCTCTGCAGAGCCTTCTTGGAAGGGCTGCATGTCGGCCCCCGAGGGGCATGTCTCATCTTCCGCGATGCTGTCCCCTTGTGGGGTGGGGGTCGTGGGGTGGGCAGGGTGTGTGCTTACAAATCACCAACAGGCACCAGAGAGGTCCCGGGAAGGAGACCCCCACTGCACCTTCCATCCATGGACAATGATGCAAAGACACCCCCCCACAACCCCCACCTGGGTAAGAGGAGGGATGGGCGGGGCATCTCTTTAAGGAGAAAGGCTTCCCATTGTTCTTGGAAGCAGGTGTTGGAAGATGTTGAGTCGTTTGCTGATCCGCAGTTAAAGCTCATGTCTGAATGTTTCTACAACCTTCTTGCTATCGTGGGCTTCATTATTTTAAAGCAGACTTTACACTGAATTCTAGAAAAAATAAATTCAGCGAGGCAAACAGCAGAGGGAGTTGCCACTTCGTTCGTCAGTTGCATTTCAATGATCTGAGTTTGCAAAATAAAGTTCATAAATATTTACAGAAATGCTTTTTTTTAGCTGCCACTCCTGTGTGTCTGCTGAGGCCCAGCCAGAAACCAGATGACACATCTCACTCTCTCGGAGCAAGGGCCTGATCTTCCACCAGGAAATGATATTTACCCCTTGTTTCTCATCCTTGGGGCTCACGTGCCCTCACTTCGTGATGTGCCCTGAGAGGTGCGCAGCTGGACACCTGCACGCTGTCTGCTAGAGCCCGGCTTCCTGCCTCCTCCGGGCCTGCACCCCACCTGATCTCTAAAGTAATTACAGTTACACAAAGTAAAGATGGTACATCCTCAGTCAACTCGCCACGTTTCAAGTGCTCAGTCCCCACAGGTGGCCGGTGGCTGCTGTGCTAAGTGGTGCGGATCTTAGAACATTCTCATCACATACAAAGGACCACTGGACAGCACTGATCTGGACAGCGGCTTGCTGGCCCAGGCTGGTCCTCGGAGGGGAATGCTCCCCGTGAGCACATGGAAGCGTCACACCGCCTCCCGTTACCTGCTCACGCGTCCTTCCTGCTGGGAACCCCTCCCTGCCCAGCAGCTCATGTCAGGTCACCCACTCCAGGGCCCTTCAGACACTCGGCTGCTCGCTGACCCCAGACTCATGAAGTCAGGCTTTCTGGCCGTGGGGCCCAGGATCAGTGTTTCCCAGAAGCTCCTGGGCTCTTCCTGCCGGCAGTCAGGAGACAGCCGAGAGCCAGGAGGGGTCTGCTGCCTCCGGATGGCGGCTGGAGCCGGAGGGGGACCACCCCGCCCCGTGCCTCACTTGTCTGACTGCCCGTGTCCGGGCCGCTCCGAGCAACTGTGAAGACACCACCACCAAGTGGAGAGGGGAGGCTGCCGTCTGCCTACACGCTTCTCCGGAGGGTGTGGACCAGTCAGCGCCACACAAAAGCAGGCTCCCTCCTCCGAAAACCCTTCTGTTTAAAGAAGGCTCCGGGACCAGTACATCTGGGGATGCACTGAGATAAGGTGCCTTTTTTTTTTAAACAGAAGGCCCCCGAGAGTAGGAGATGACAGTGCATAGCCTGGCCTGACCATTTTTGTATATGAAACCCTCATTTTACCAAATCCTTATTATCTCATGGGAAAACTGTCTTATTGAACGTTGTCCTTCTGGGACACACAGGCCCTCACTCACCTCTCTCCTCTTGCATAAGGACAGAAGGAGGCGGACTTTTATATTTAAGCAGTTTTTCCTACAGGCAGCTGTGGTGGCCGTGGGACACGGGCTGGTGCAGACGCAGACGTGGGCACAGAACAGGTGCTCCGGGCGGGATGAGCACACACCCCAGGGAGGACAGAGGAGGCAGGAGGACACCAGGGAGGGGAAGACTGAGGCCGCCCTGCAGCAGAGAGCCCTGCCGAGGCTCCAGGAGGACCCTAAGGCCAGCAGCGAGAGGGTGGCCCACGGGACCCGGGCACCTCCTCCCCGGGCCGTCTCCAGGCCCAGGAGAAAGGCGGCAGCAGGGCTGCGAGCTCAGGGCTCCCTCCCGCTCCCCTCGCCCCTCCGTGCACATACCTGGTTGCCCCCGGCATTGTGGCACTCGTAAACTCCAACAACACCGTCAGCAAAATGTCCCAGAGTGTCCAGGCAGTTGGTTCCCTGCTGCAAGGCCCCGAAAGCTATATCCTGGTGGTCGGGAACCCTGGAACCAACGAGAGAGTCACTCGCTCGACTCAGCAGGGCCACCGCCTCGGTTCCCAGCCCGGCACTGGGCTCAGAGCCGTTGTCGTGGGTCAAACAGGACAAATCAGACAGGCAGAGCAAGGCCGGCTGCGTCCCGAGGCAGCATGGCTCTGACTTCCTCTATCTCTAACCCTAAGTGAAGACTTCAGGTTGAAGCATCCTTTCTATTTTGTACCGAGGACATTGTTCTGGAAAGGAAACGCTCCTTTTCATGGTCACGCTGCTGGAAGTCATTCAGAAAAGCAACGAACGTGGTCAGAGCCTGCTGCCTGGCACTTTCAGACAGACTTAGGCTTGACCCCCACCTAGAAGAGGGGAAAGCACACATGAGGGTGTCGGGGGCCCAACAGAGCAGGAGGGCACAGAGGGTGCGGCCACGCGCTCCAGGATCAGACCCGACTTGCAGCCCGGCCCCGGCCGCGCGCCGGCTGTGGGAGCGATCGCTCAGCCTCTCGGTCTGTCTAAGCCCCCGCTCCCTCCTCTGCTGTCCTGCCAAACAGGTTTGCTGCAAGGATTCCACAAACATTCCACCCGAAGCACTGAGCACAGAGTCTGGCCCACAGGAAGCACTCAGCAGACGGGCGCGATTGTCACTGACGTGGTACAAACACTAGGCTGGTGTCTCCCTCGTCCGGCACGGGCAGGGGTAGCAGCTCCACCCACTGGTGCGGTGCTCAACCCTTCAGATGTGGTCTTAGGTGGCGCGTGGCCCCGTGTCACCCCACACAGGCGACCTCAGAGTGAAACTGTGCATTTAATGTCTCTCCATCTGGTGTCTGGTCGCCAAGGCACAGGCCACCAGGAAGCATTATTACTGGGCCGCCGCCCGCAGCGGAGAGGCCCTCGTCGGCCGGAGGAGGGGCGGCGACCAGGGGCTTCCCACTAGTGGCCGTCCTTCCCAGAGGGGGCAGGGGGAGGACATTCGGCTCCTCCCCTCCCCTGGGAGTGCAGCATCGGGGGCCTCGCTTAAGCAGAGCAAACAGTTCCAAAGAGCGATGCAGGTGAACAGGGTGGAGAGGCAAGGCCGCATGACCTACGCTCAGGCAGATCTTGGGGACACGGGCACTGGAGGGACCGTCAGCACAGAGGAGACTGCGGGTGACTCCGGCATTCACAGCCCCCGGGCTGGAGGTGAGTGACCTGCTGCAAATGCCCTGGGGACATTCAGCAGGCGTGTGCTGCATTAAGGCAAACCCTGTCTGAAAACCTCTTTAAGATGACGGAGTTCAGATGGAGCCTGGAAGCCGCAGACCTAGAGATCCTCTGATGGGTACCTGCGCTCCCCGAGGACCCGAGGGCGTTCATTTAAAATGAAAGGCAGGCTGCAGACACAGCTCAGAGGAGGATTTCTGCCATCATTCATCCTCACAGAGGGGAGCAGGGGCGAGGGTGATTATTCCCATGACACACATGGTAAAAACTAGCCTGGAGAAAGGAGGCATGAAGGCGGGGCGTGGGGTGGGGATGGAGGGCCGTCCTCCAAGCTCTGCTGGGCGGCGTCACCTGCTGGCCCGCAGGAGGGGAGGTGATGGAGCTGGCTGGGTGTCTGCCCCCAACACCAGAGCGAGAGCAGTGAGGAGGGTGAGGCTACGGAGCCAGAAGCGGGCAGGGAGGACCTGAGGGCTGGCAGCACAGAGCGCCCACCTCTGGGGCCGGAGCTGCCCCCGGCCACTCACAGAGCAGGGGAGATGGCATCCTCAGGGTCACTCGGCCATCATCTCGCCAGGGGGACCGGCTAAATGAGGTGGCCCCATGGGGATGTTCCAGGTCTACGAAGAATGGGCTGGGGGGGGAACCCCAGGAGAGCCACAGTTCAAGAGCACATGTCGGGGGCCTGGGGGCAGTGGTGGGGCCCAGCCTCCGGCCCTGAGCATGGCCTCCACCCCATCTCCAGGCCCCGTGCGCCCCAGCACTGGCCGCGTCTGCACCCTCCAGCGCGGAGCCCGGCACTGGCACTCACCTTAACTCTGGGTAGACGTTTTCAAGGTACCATTTGAAAGGCTTGCAGCCAAGCTTCTTCCTGAGCTCCAGCCGGCTCTGGATACTGGAGAAGAAGGAGACAAGGGTCCTTTACCAACTTTAGGAAGGGACGGGCTGTCTACGTCAAACCTGGAAATCTGCCGATGAGAGCAGGGTTGGGGCAGGCAGTGGGGACTGCATCACCATGCTTCTGTCCCCAGGACCCTGCTGTTTCCCACATGTCCTCACCAGCCATGAGCAGTGGCCCTGCTTCGGCACTTTGGTGGCTGTTCTCAGCTCTGACCACAGAATGATGCTTAGGGTTTAGGGTGTGGGCTGACACCCCCCACCACAAGGATCCCAAGCAGCAGCAAGAAGGGTGCGAGTCACACTTACTTTCCGTAAGGGACGTTTCTGGCAGAAGGCACGGCTGCATAATAGAAATTTTTGTACTCGTCCATCCAGACCTCTGCTGCCCGGCGGGTGTTACTAGAAACAAAACACACTGAGCTGGGATTTGCTCTCTTTCCATCAGCACCACCTTGTCTGCACTTGTCAGCCTGCAGCGCTAAGGAGGAAGGTGCTTCTGGTGTGGTGGCGGGGTGGGGGCAGTGTGGCAGGGGCGCGTGCACGGAGCGGAGAGCGGGCTGTCCTCTCAGCGCCCCGGGCTGCATTTGTCAGGGCTCGCTGAACAAACAGAACCCACCTCCTCGTCTTTTACAGAACACAGCCGGTCACAGAGCGAAAGTCAACGTTAGAATTACAGCGCCGGCAGGTATTTTAAGGGGACTGGGGTTGTGCCATCAAGAAGGACAAAAGAGAATTACTCTGCAATAACTCTTATTATGTATCCACAGAGGGCTGGTGCCAGGAAGCACAGCCAAGAAATCCTTGGCCTCCATTCTCCTTGGCCTCTCTCATCATGGCTGAAGCAGAGAGCTACCACGAGAGAGCTCCGGGGAAAAGTTAAGAATAGACTGGAGTTATGATTAAAACGGCTGTGGGCAGACCTGAGCTGAGAGCGTCCTGTTCGGGGCCCGGTGGCCTCTGCCCCGCATTTGCGGCTCCCCCTGCGCAGTGCTGGCGGGCGGCAGAGACAGAACGGGCTTCTCAGGAAGGCAAGCCAGCCCACGTGCGCAGCTCTCACAATCACGGCCAGAACCACGATCCACGACCAATACGCCCCCCGGAACGAGCTACCTTGAATGCACGACATGTACGCAAAGCCACCACATTCACAGGCGGCAGCACCTTCTGCCAGCGTTCTCCCTAAAGCATCTACGAAGCAGCGTCCACACAGTGAGCCTCTGCTCCCCTGTCCCCGGACTCCGCTCCAAAGAGGACTCGCCCCCTTACGCTTAGAGCCAACGCTCTAAGAACCCAGGCGGAAGGCACTCTGTTCTTCCAAAGCAAATACATCAGGGAGGCGATGTTCACCTTTTCCCATACCTGTCCTCCATCAGAAAGGTCTCTGTGACATGGTAGGCCTTTCGGGGGGTGTGGGGACAGCTCAGTGGTAGAGCACATGCTCGGCATGCACGAGGTCTTGGGTTCAATCCCCAGGCCTTCCATTAAAAATAAATAAATGAACCTAATTACCACCCCTCCCAAAATAAAATAAAATAAAATGAAATGGTGTGGTTTCAAATCATCTGAGCTACAATTATTAAAATCATTTCTGTGTGGGATGTGTATCCTTTACATAAAGTGATCTATGTGTCTTTTTTCTTTTCATGAAGTGGAAGATGGGCTGCTGTTCAGAACACCTGTCAGAGGCAGACGGGGCAACACGAGTCCCCCTGCCCTCTGACCAGGCAGTTTCTGCTTCTAGAAATTCACCTCCAGGAAACAATCACCTGGGAGTGAGAATCCGCTCAACTTGGCATCATCTATAATGGCAAAACCCAAACCAAAACAAACCCTCCAAACTACATGACCATCAACAGGGAAGCGGTCAAACACACGGACTCCCCCGTGGCCACGAAAAATACATGCGTACATTTTACACGCTGCCACGGAATGACGTCCCTGACTTTTTGGGTGAAAATAAAATAGATAACAGGACAGATACGCGTGCGGAGGGAGGAGGGAGAGGAGGGAGAGAGCGATTGAAGGATGTTTCCCCCAAATTATAAGGGTGCTGTCTTTGGTAACGAGATTGGTAAGTTTTTACTTTCCCTGTTAAAAAATACCTAGATACCACAATTATTTAAACATTAAAAATGCAGAGGGAGGGCAGAGCTCAGTGGTAGAGCGCATGCCTAGCATGCACGGGGTCCCGGGTTCAATCCCCAGTACCCCCTCTAAAATAAATACATAAACCTAATTACCTCCCCCAAAACAAAAAACAAGATAAAAAAACTCAATAAATAAAAAAATTTTTTTTTCTAAATATTAAAAAATGCCAGGGATACAGGATCGCAGGTACTATTTCTCAGAAGAGTCGTTAAATGTCCCCAGGGAGCCCCGGGGCCTTGTGAGCGGCCCGCGCCTTTGCCTGTGCCCGGTCGGCCTCTAACTGGCTGCGTGCCTCCTGTGCTGAAATGAAAGCGGTTTGAGTCCAGAATCTCCTAGGTCCTTCCAGCCGTATTAGTTTAGAGGTTTTCTGAGTTGGAATCACACGGTGGTTTTATTATTATTTTTTAATGGAGGTGCTGGGGATTGAACCCCAGACCTTGATGCAGGCTGAGCACGCGCCTGCCCCTGAGCTATACTCCCCCCACCGCCCCACGGTGGTTTTAAATCACCGAAGCCATTAAGTGATTAAGTCCGTTCTGAGCCCCCAGCCGCAGCACAGCCCTTTCCTGTCTGCCTCACGGGACAAGCTTCACGTGCTGCTCAGCACCGGTTTCAGCTCGTGCACGCAAAGGTCTACGAGGCTCCAACCGTGTGCCCAACGGTCTCCTCGGGCTGCGGGGCGGGCGCCTGGAGGCCCCCCGTCCGCTCTCCGGGCCCCTCCCGCCCCGCTCCGCGCAGGATACGCAGCCG